CAGAAAGGACAGAAGACTGAGGTGAGAATAAGTATTGATCAAAGGAAGAAGAACTTGAAGAACTGAGTAAAGAATTTAAGAAAGAAAGATGTTGGAATGGAAAGATGTTTTCATGGAAAATAACATCCCTGGAATGGAAAACTGTATTGGTGAGAAGGTTATATAACGTATAAGCCTTCATACCATAAGGGTAGCCAATAAAGATGCAAGGTGCTGCTCTAGGATCAAACTTGGATCTGTTTCTTCGCATAGCAGCAGCATAACACAAGCAACCAAACACTCTGAGGTGGGAAAGGGAAGGTGCTGAGTAATAGAGTGTTTCATATGGTGACTTATCATCAAGGACAGAGGAAGGGGTTCTATTTAAAAGATGTATGGCAGTCAGAATGCAGTTTCCCCAGAATTTATGTGGCAAATTTGCCTGAAATTTAATTGCTCTAGCGATGTTTAGGATATGTTGATGTTTCCGTTCAACAATCCCGTTCTGCTGAGGAGTTTCTACACAACTAACTTGATGTAAGATTCCTTTATAATGATAGAAATCTGTCATTATAAACTTAGCACCATTATCAGACCTTAGTGTTTTTATGTTGGCTTGAAAGTGAGTCTGAATTAATGAATAAAAATTTCGAATAAGAGGTCTGGTTTGAGACTTGGTTTTCATCAGATAAGTCCAGGTGACTCTACTATAATCGTCAACGATGGTGAGAAAGTAATGAGATCCATCAAGAGAAGGTGTGGAGTAAGGGCCCCAAATGTCGCAATGAATTATGTCAAATGCCTTAGAAGCCCTCGATTCACTGATGGGAAAAGGAAGTTTATGTTGCTTCGCCATAGGGCAGATTGGACAATACAAATGTTTATTAAATGTGATGTTAGAAGCGTATTTATGAAAGGTGGATAGCTTTGAAACGGGCACATGACCCAGACGGCAGTGCCATATATCAATATTGCTAGTAATATTACTGATATTTTGAACATTACAAGAAGTAGCAACAACTGTATTACAATGGAAATCAGAAATGGGAATGCAACAAGATATAACAGAAGTATTGAGACCATTGGAGTGTGTAACAGAATGTGCACTGAATTGATGAGAATTGGTAGGTGAGTTGTTTTTGGACTTGACATATAACTGATGATCAGGAGTTTGGAAAAGATATAATCCATCCTTAAGCTTGCCT